TAGAATGGGGATCAGCTAACACCCCTGTTCCTGGGGCTCCTGCTCCCCACTCCAGCTAAAGGATCACCCATCTGCTGACTGCTCACTGCTGCTGCCACTTCCAGGGAAACCACTAGCGGCTGCCAATTTACTCTGAATAAATAAATCAATACCACAGCTGGAAGCCTGGTTCTCATCATCTGTGCTGCAGGGCCCCAGGTGGGAAAAGTGGGCCCCACTGGAGTCCAGGTGTTGAATTTTCAGTATCTTGAAGAAATTAGTGCCACAGTGGGCATGTGGGCCAATTTCAGATAGTTATACTATTTTTGCTGGGGACTGGGGCAGCATATGAGACCAGGGTGGGGCTCGTAGGAAGCACTTTGATGGGAAGGTCCCAACTGAAGGTGTCTACAGGCACCTGCTCAGGCCCTGTCCAGGTCGAAGGTTCAGGCTGCTCCAATGGGGGCAGAAGGACCAATCCTGGTTCCCGGGATGTTACAAACTCAAAATGCAATCGCCACTTCAAGGACACTGCAAAAGAAAGACAGAGACAGATACTCTAAAATAGTGGTTCTCAACCCCCTATAGGTCAAAGGATCCTTTCATGGGGACACTCAAGACCACCGAAAAAGAGATGTTTACCTTGCGATTTGTAACAACAGCAAAATTAGTTACGAAGTAGTACTGAAAATAATTTTATGGCTGGGGGTCACCACAACATGAGGAACTGTATTAAAGGGTTGCAGCATTAGGAAGGTTGAGAACCACTGCTCTAAAAGCAAGTAGTTCAGGTGTGGTGGCACACACCTGTAATCCCAGTATTAGGTGAAGGCAGGAAGACCACAAGTTCAAGAGGGGACTACATGAGACCCTAATATCAAAACAAAACAAAACAAAACAAAAAAAAAAAACAAACAAACAAAAACCAAGCAAGTGGTAGGTAGTAAAAGCTAATAACAGGATATGGTTAGTAAAATAAAAAATAAAAAACTCAGAACCATCAAGATGGCTCAGCAGGTTAAGGGGACTTGTCGCCAAACCTGATGACCTAAATCTGATTCCCAGGACTCATATGGTAGAAAGAACCAACTCCAGAAAGTTGTCCTCTGACCTCCACACAAATGCTGTGATGCATATGCCCAGATCCACACACTAAATAAATAAATGTATTTAAAATTATGACTGGATGTGATGGTGCATGCCTTTAACCCCAGTGCTCAGGAAAAGGAGATGGAAGCAGGTGGATCTTTGTGAGTTTGAGGCCAACCTGGTTTACATAGTGAACTCCAGGCCAGCCAGGCACTGGTGGCGCACGCAGGGAGATCTCTGTGAATTCAAGGCCAGCCTGGTCTACAGAGCTAGTTCCAGAGCAGCCAGGGTTACACGGAGAAACCCTGCTAGAAAAACAATACAAACAAATTTTTTGAAAGAAAAAACAAACTGTATCCATAAAGAGGAGACACAGGGCAGGAGCTTCGATCAAACACTTCGTTTTTAAGAAATCTGGTGTGTTAATATGTTAACCAGAGACACCATTAAGGATCTACCTAGAAACCCAAAATCAGGATAGTCAAGACTGGGTAGTTTGAAGTCAATGTGCTAAGGAGCCAGAGACCAGTGCACTACAGGGGCAGGAACAGTACTTTATAAAGCTGTTAAGAGCTTAGGGGTCAGCACATCTAAGAAACAAGGAAAGTGGAAAGATGTGAAAAATGCAAAGGGTTGGGCTGGATGTGGGTGTATATGTCTGGGAGTTTTAGGGATCTAGGCTCATTACACTCTATCCAAGCCCAGCATTTACTTCCCCTTCTCCTTTCTCCAATAATGGTCAGGCTCTCACCAATGGCAGTGCAGAAGCCAGGGGTAGAACAGAGAGGGATGGGGAGAGAGAAGCTGGTTCTGGCTGTATGGAGGCAGGACTCCTGGTGCCGGGCATGAGTCACATGGGACACTGAAGGGGCAACTCCTGTCCCACGGCGTCGCTGGTACTCTGGCTGTACACGCTCTTCAGTTTGCAAGCTTACTGAAAACTGGGAGCAAAAGGAGAGATGTATACCAGCAGGCATTTGGAAATATGGATGGTAGGTGAGTGGTAGCCCTGAGGAACCCCAATTTCCACTTCTACAAACCTCCCCTCTTTATGCAGGCCCCTCTTCCACCCTAGCCCTACAAGCTGAGCACAAAAAACAAAAACAAAACAAAGCTCTCTCCCCCTCAAACAAACAAACAAACAAAAAACAAAACAACCCTGTTCCTTTCTTACCTGCAAACAAGCTACGGTTCCTTCCCCTGAGTTTAAGGTCCCCACCACGTCCTCGCCGAGTCGGTACACAGATTTGAAGATACCAAATGTCCCAACTTTCCCTCGGCCATCACTGATATTGTATAAATCTGGGGAAAATTGATAACAAAAGGCTACAGTTTACACTGGGGAATATCTAAGATTGAGTCTCAGAGGCCAAACATGAGTCTTTTTGTTATAATGGGGTAAGATATTAGTGGACCCATGAAGGGATGTGGCAGGCAGGAGACTTTTCAGACAGAAATACAACAAGAGTAGGGCTGGAGCAGGGCA